ACCTTGATAAACATCTATGCACCCAATATAGGAGCGTCAAAATATATTAAAAATCTTCTGGAGGATTTCAAGGGAGAAATCAACAGCAATACAATCATAGCAGGGGACTTCAACACCCCGCTGACATCACTGCATAGATCCTCTAGACAAAAAATTAGCAATGGCCCTGGCCGGTTTTGCTCAGCGGTTAGAGCGTCGGCCTGTGGTCCAAAGAGAACCGGGTTCGGTTCGCACTAAGGGCACGTACCTCAGTTGCAGTTTCTCCCCGGCCCTGATTGTGTTGTGTGGGTGGCAACCACTTGATGTGTCCCTTTCCCGTGGATGTTTCTCTCTCTCTCTCTCTCCCTCCCACTCTATCTGATCAAAATATTGAAAAATGTCCTCAGGTGAGGATAAAAAAAAAATTAGCAAGGAAACAAAGACTCTAAATGAAGCACTAGACCAAATGGACTTAATAGATATCTACAGAGAATTACACCCCAAAACTACAGAATTCACATTCTTCTCAAGTGCACATGGGACATTCTCAAAGAGAGACCACACGTTAGGACACAAAGCAAGTCTCTACAAGTTCAAGAAGACTGAAATCATATCAAGCATCTTCTCAGATCACAATGGCATGAAACTAGAAATCAATTGCAACAAAAACATGCAAAGACATTAAAACACATGGAGGCTAAATAGCATGTTATTAAACAATGAATGGGTTACCGAGGAGATCAAGGAAGAAATTAAAAATTTCCTGGAAACCAATGAAAATGAACACACAACACAAAATCTATGGGATGCAGCGAAAGCAGTTCTGAGAGGGAAGTTCATAGCACTACAGGCCTACCTCAAGAAACAAGAAAAATCTCTAATAGACTATCTAACCTCACAATTTAAAGAATTAGAAAGCAAACAAAAAGAAAACCCCAGAGCAAGTAGAAGGAAAGAAATAGTAAAGATCAGAGCAGAAATAAATGACCTAGAGACAAAAAAAAAAAAAGCAGTTCAAAGGATCTATGAAACAAAGAGCTGGTTTTTCGAAAAGATAAACAAGATTGATGGACCCTTAGCCAGACTCACCAAGAAACAAAGAGAGAAAACCCAAATACACTAAATCAAAAATGAAAGAGGAGAAGTAACAACTGACACCACAGAAATACAAAGGATCATTAACAACTACTATGAACAATTATATGGCAACAAATTCGACAATCTAAGTGAAATGGAAAAATTTCTAGAAACACAGTCTCCCAAAACTGGACCGGGAAGAGATTAAAAAATTTGAACAGACCAATAACAACTAAGGAAATTAAAGAGGTAATCAAGACTCTCTCAGCAAACAAAAGCCCAGGCCCGGATGGCTTCACAAGGGAGTTTTACCAAACATTCAAAGAAGAACTAACACCTATTCTCCTCAAACTATTTCAATAAATTCAAGAAGAAGAAGACTTCCAAACTCGTTCTATGAGGCCAGCATAATTCTAATTCCAAAACCAGAAAAAAACACTACAAAGAAAGAAAACGACAGGCCAATATCCCTGATGAACACAAATGCCAAAATCCTGAACAAAATACTAGCAAATCGGATCCAGCAATATATGAAAAAAATTATTTACCATGCCCTGGCCAGTTTGGCTCAGCGGTTAGAGCATCAGTCTGCAGTCCAGAGAGACCCGGGTTCAGTTCCCGCTAAGGGTGCATACCTTGGTTGCAGTTTGTCCCCCGCCCTCGTTGGTCGTGCGGGTGGCAGCCACTCAATGTGTCCCTTTCATGTCGATGTTTCTCTCTCTCTCTCTCTCTTCCTCTCTCTCCCTCCCACTCTATCTGAACAAAAAATAAAAAATGTCCTCGGGTGAGGATAAAAAAAAAATTGTTCACCATGACCAAGTGGGATTCATCCCAGGGCTGCAAGCTGGTACAATATTTGCAAATCAATAAATGTGATACACCATATAAACAAAATGAAGAATAAAAACCACATGATCATATCAATAGATGCTGAAAAAGCATTCAACAAAATCTAGCACCCGTTTCTGATAAAAACACTCAGCAATGTGGGAATAGAGGGATCATATCTCGACATAATAAAGGCCATATATGAAAGACCTACAGCCAACATCATACTCAATGGGCAAAAACTAAAACAGCACCCATTTCTGATAAAAACGCTCAGCAATGTGGGAATAGAGGGATCATATCTCGACATAATAAAGGCCATATATGAAAGACCTACAGCCAACATCATACTCAATGGGCAAAAACTAAAAGCATTTTCCTTAAGAACAGGAACAAGACAGGGATACCCACTTTCACCACTCTTATTTAACATAGTACTGGAAGTCTTAGCCACAGCAATCAGACATGAAGAAAAAATAAAAGGGATCCAAATTGGAAAAGAGGAAGTGAAACTGTCATTATTTGCAGATGACATGATATTATACATAGAAAACCCTAAAGACTCCATCAAAAATCTACTAGACTTAATAAATGAATTTGGCAAAGTAGCAGGATATAAAATTAATGTCAAGAAATCGATGGCATTCTTATACATCAATGATGAACTCATGGAAAGAAAAACTAAAAAATCAATCTCATTTACCATCATGGCAAAAAAATTAAGATACCTAGGAATAAACTTAACCAAAGAAGTAAAGGATCTATTTGCAGAAAACTACAGGACATTGAAAAAAGAAATAGAGGAAGACATAAAAAAGTGGAAGCACATACCTTGTTCATGGATTGGAAGAATTAACATAATTAAAATGTCCATATTACCCAAAGCAATCTATAGATTCAATGCAACCCCCATCAAAATACCAATGACATATTTCACAGAACTAGAACAAATACTCCAAAAGTTTATGTGGAACTAGAAAAGACCCTGAATAGCCACAGCAATCTTGACAAAGAAGAACAAAGTAGGAGGGATCATAATACCGAATATCAGGTTATACTACCAAGCCACTGTAATCAAAACAGCCTGGTACTGGCACAAGAACAGGCATATAGACCAGTGGAACAGAACAGAAATGGACCCAAGACATTATGCTCAATTAATATTTGACAAAGGAGGCAAGAGCATACAATGGAGTAAAGACAGCCTCTTTTTTATCCATTCATCTACTGATGGACACTTGGGCTATTTCCAGATCTTAGCTATTGTAAATAGTGCAGCTATAAAAATGGGGGTACATATATTCTTTCTGATTGGTGTTTCAGGCTTCTTAGGGTATATTCCTAGAAGTGGGATCACTGGGTCAAATGGAAGTTCAATTTTTAATTTTTTAAGGTAACACCATAGTGTTTTCCATAGTGGCTGCACAAGTCTGCATTCCCACCAGCAGTGTACTAGAGTACCCTTTTCTCCACACCCTCGCCAATACTTGTTGTTTGATGATTTGTTGATGGCGGCCATACTGACAGGTGTGAGGAGATAAGTTGCATCTCTCTGATGATTAGTGATGTTGAGCATTTCTTCATATGTCTCTTGGCCATTTGTATGTCCTGTTTGGAGAGGTGTCTATTCAGCTCCTCTGTCCATTTTTTAATTGGGTTCTTTGTCTTCCTTTTGTTGAGCTGTATGAGCACTCTATATATTTTGGAAATTAACCCCTTATCTGATGTATCATTGGCAATTATGCTCTCCCATAGAGTGGGTTGCCTTTCCATTTTGGTGGTTGTTTCTTTTGCTGTGCAGAAGCTTTTTAGTTTGATGTAGTTCCATGTGTTCATTTTCTCCTTTGTTCCTATTGCCTTAGGTAATGTGTCAGTGAAAATTCTGCTGCATACGATGTCCGAAATTTTGTTGCCTACATTTTCTCCTAGGATTTTTATGGATTCACGGGTCACATTTAAGTCTTTTATCCATTTTAAGTTTATTCTTGTGTATGCTGTAAGTTGATGATCTAGTTTCATTTTTTTGCATGTAGATGTCCAGTTTTCCCAACACATATTTTTAAAGAGGTCCAAGTGATATTTCTCTCCCTGATCTTGGCCAATCTTGGTCTATAAGAAATCAAATGATGACAAATGCCCACATGGCCTTGCCTATGGTTTTCCCACTGGCAGTGCTACATGGAAGAAACCTTAAGTTGAGAAATGACGAGTTTATTGTTCTCTCCTGAGAAGGCTGGCTTAGGATCACAGCAACCTCAGCAGCCCGAGCCCCTCCCTCTCGCTCGAGAAGATCGGGCCTGCCAGAGATGGTGTGGAAATAGCACGAAAGTCAATGTCAACAGATACCACTGGCCTTCACAACTCCAAAAGACAAGAATAGGATTTTTTTGTTTCTATTCTGCAGATAAGAAAACTGAGCTTCAGAAAGATTAAACTAAATTTAATTGTGGTATGTTTTCTAAAAACTAAAGCATATAGGTGCTCTGACTACAAGAAGCATTTTGAGCTTTTTATTGTCAATGTAAGAAATGTCTAAACCTGTAAAAAATTTTTAAGAGTTTCTTTGAGCCAAACTGACAATTACCAGAAAGCAAAATCTCAACAGATTGAGAAAACGGCAGTTTTACTGTTACCAAAAGGGGGACCTGGCCCTGAGCAGCTCTGACTAGGGCCAGCCGGTAGTGTGTGGGTTCTTGACTTCGCACAGGAAACATTTCACAACACGAGTCCACGTGAATTTTAGAGGACATTTATCAAAGTTGGGGACAATGAAACAAGGAAGGGCTGGGGGAAATGAGCCTAGGCTGGGCTGCTTTGGCCCATTGAGAAGTCAGACAAAAGGGGCCCTTAGGGACGGGTTCAGGGGGTTTGCCTGGAATGAATTGCCACTGCCCATTTCTCCCCTGGTTGCAAGACTCGTGGGGTCACTTAGAGTTTCAGAGATACATACCTGTGGGGTAAGAAGAGTGTTGGGGTAGGGGAGACATGGGCCTGCTCCTGGGAGGGAGAGCAGGCCCAGACCATGTTTTTAAAATAATGACATTTTAGGCTCCAGATATAGAACAAAATCAATAATAAATTGCGTTATCAAACATTATGATAAAAGGTATTCTTACTTTTTCCTCTGCTGATCAATCCAGAATTTACAGCTCTTCCTGACAAAGTCACAGCCCATTCCTCGGCCCCAATCTAACTTCTCAGCCATGCTATAATTAGCTTTATACCAGCTGTGGAAATAATTCAAACAAAGCACTTTTACTACTGTCATTTAAAAAACAATTCCAGTGTAGCCATGACAAATTTCAACATTGAGAAAACTAAGACCTCAAAAAGGACTTTGGTGGTCATCGCCATAGATAAGCATTACTAAGAAAGCCCTTGCTGCACAGGGACTGCTGCACAGGGTCACTGGAGTAGGGACTGGGAAACTTGTCTTATGGTGAGGGTATTCACAGTAAGAAAAAACATGAACAAACCATGTTTCCATTGTAATTTCCAAAGATAACAGAAGTCAGAGAGTAGAAACTGGTTCAGGTGTAAGACAAGGGGAATATGAGCCAAAGAAACAAAACGAGAGAAAAAGAGAAGGGAGTAAACCGAGAAAGAAACAACGGAATTATTAGGTGGTTAGCCTTTACTTATCTGATTCAGTTGACCCTACTTTATTGCTTCTCTGGCCTTGAATTTGTGCCTTTTCATCAATACAGGCCCTGCCTGTGACTAAACATTACACTACTATAGTAAGACAAATGAAAACAATGACTAACACTCTTAAAATGTTCCCATTTCGGAAAAAACACACACCCTGGCCTGTTTGGCTCAGCGGTTAGAGCATCAGCCCGCAGACCAGAGTCGCGGGTTCGATTATGGTCAAGGGCATGTACCTCAGTTGCAGTTTGTCTCTGGCCCTGGTCAGTGTCGTGCAGGAGGCAGCCAGTCGATGTGTTTCTCTCACTTTGATACTTCTCTCTCTCCCTCCCTTCCTCCTACTCTATCTGAGATAAATGAAAAAATATCCTCAGGTGAAGATTAAAAAAAACCCACAAAACATTGATTTAGTTTCCTGGCACATTTAATAAACAAGCTTACTTTTATTAGTTTTTCTTCTTTCCTCTTTTTTTTTTTAAATCATGTTTTCTTTTTATTTATTTTTTCAATCCTCAATGGAGGACATTTTTGCATTCATCTTCAGATAGAGCAGGAGGGAGAGAGAGAGAGAAACATCAATGTGAGAGAGACACATCGAGTGGCTGCCACCCACACGACCCCAACCGGGGCCAGGGACAAACTGCAACCAAGTTATGTGCCCTTAGTGGGAACCGAACCCAGGACTCTCTGGTCCGCGAGCCGACACTCTAACGGCTGAGCCAAACTGGCCCGGGCTCATTTTTTATTTTTCAATCACCATTGACATAAAATATTATTATTAGTTTCAGGTGTACACCCCAGTGATTAGATATTATATAACTTACTAGTGATCATCACAATAAATCTCATATACACCTAACATCATATATAGTTATTAGAATATTATTTATTTTATTTTTTTAGAATCCTCACCCAAGGATATTTTTCCATTTATCTTCAGATGGAGTGGAGGGGAGGAAGGGAGGGGGAGGGAGAGAGTGAGAGAGAGAGTTGCCTCCTGTATGACCCCAAACAGGACTGGGGACCAAACCACAACTGAGTACGTGCCCTTGACAGAAATCGAACCTGCGACTCTTGGTCTGTGGCCCAAAGCTGCAAATGAACCAAATCAGCCGGGGCAGAATATTATTGATTATATTTTCTATGCTCTATTTTACATCCCCATGACTGTAACAACCAATTTGTACTTCTTAATCCTTTTACCTTTTTCACCCATGTCCCCTCCAACCACCCTCCCATCTGGCAACCATAAAAATGTTCTCTGGCCCTGTCCAGTTTGGCTCAGCAGTTAGAGCTTCGGCCTGTGGTCCAGAGAGACCCAGTTCGGTTCCGGCTAAGGGTGTGTACCTCAGTTGCAGTTTGTCCCTGGCTCTGGTTGGTCGTGCGGGTGGCGGCCACTTGATGTGTCCCTTTCACATCAATGTTTCTTTCTCTCCCTCCCCAACTCTATCTGAACAAAAAATGGAAAAATGTTCTTGGGTGAGCGTTCGCTTGCGAACCAGTGAGTCCCAGGTTCGGTTACCGCTAAAGGCATGTACCTTGGTTGCAGTTTGTCCCCAGCCCCAGGTTGTGTGGGTGGCAACCAGTTGATGTGTCTCTTTCACATTGATGTTTCTCTCTCTCTTCCTCCCTCCCTTCCTCCCTCCCACGTTATCTGAAGATAAATGAAAAAAACAAAAATGTCCTCGGGTGAGGATAAAAATAAATAAATAGATTAATTAATTTAAACAGATGTAGAATGCTGACATTCTTACTTTGAAAAAAAAAAAACTTCTAGAGGACACTTGCACAGAATGTGTGAAAGCCTCTGGGCAGCAGAAAGGACCATTTAAGATGCAGGGAGACAGCCCAGCCAGTGTGGCTCTCTGGTTCAGCATTGACCCATGCCCCCAGAAGTCACAAGTTTGATTCACGGTCAGGGCACATGTCCAGGTTGTGGGCCCAATCCCCAATGGGGTACACGCAGGAGGCAGCCAATCGATGTCCTTTCTCATTGATGTTTCTGTCTCTCTCCCTCTCCCTTCCTCTCTCTCTAAATCAATAAAGAAAAAATAAAATAAGCCCTGGCCGGTTTGGCTCAGGTTAGAGCGTCGGCCTGCGGTACAGAGAACCCGGGTTCGGTTCCCGCTAAGGGCACGTACCTCGGTTGCAGTTTGTCCCCGGCCCTGGTTGGTCGTGCGGGTGGCGGCCACTCGATGTGTCCCTTCACATCAATGTTTCTCTCTCTCTCTCTTCCTCTCTCTCGCTCCCGCTCTATCTGAACAAGGAATGGAAAAATGTCCTCGGGTGAGGACAAAACAAAACAAAACAAATAAAATAAAATAAAATAAAAAGATGCAGGAGACAGATAAAAAATTCACTACAGTAAAAGATAATGGTGGCCTTGATAAAGGTGACCAGAAAAGTAGACAGACTCCGAGGATACTGAAGAGTTAAAAATCAAGAATTATGATTGATTCACAGGTTTCTGGATGAATACATGATAATGTTTTTTACTGGGAGAAGTAACTCAGTTAAGTCATATGAATTTATGAAAATTAAATTCCATGCCCACAATTTAAAAATATGGCCAGAAATTTAGAAACTTATGACCCATGTTTCTGCTGTGTTGACTCAGACAAAAGAAAAAATGTTTTAAGCCCTGGCCGGTTTGGCTCAGCGGTTAGAGAGTCAGCCTGTGGTCCAGAGAGACCTGGCTTCTGTCCCCGCAAACGGCATGTACCTTGGTTGCGGTTTGTTCCCAGCCCTGGTTGGGTCATGTGGGTGGCAGTCACTCGATGTGTCCCTTTCACGTCGATGTTTCTCTCTCTTCCTCTTTCTCCCTCCCACTCTATCTGAACGAAAAATGGAAAAATGTCCTTGGGTAAGGATAAAAAAAAAAAATGCTTTAAAATTCACCAGTACCATGATTTTTCATTAATGACTTACACACTCCACAGTGCTTCTATATCCAACTGGTGTCTAGAAACTAGCATTGTTTATAAAAGGGCTATACATAGGTAGTTAAGCAGAGCAGCAGGACCACTTCAGCTGGCCATTGCTTATTCAGGGATAAATAGGAAAGAGTTATAATGGCACTAAAAAAAATCCAGCATTGCTGTTTTCTCCCCCTTTTCAAATACACGAATTTCCAAACTTGGTTCACTGTAAAGTAAGAGAAACAATGACAACCTAGCAGCAATAAACACAGTGCCCAGGCTGTGGTTTCCAAAAACTACTCTCTATTAAAAGGAACCAGTGCTCCTTGGAAGACTGGCTGATGCCCAGGGGGTATGTGCTGAGCAGCCTGGTACGTTCTACCATACCAGAAACCAAGAAAGCTATCAGAAACTAACAAGTCTTGTAAAAGGACCCAGGAGCCAACAAAGAAAAGGACTCCCATGAGTCATTTATTTATTTTTATCCTTACCCGGGGATATTTTTCCACTTTTTTTGTTCAGACAGAGTGGGAGGGGGAGAGAGGAACAGAGAGAGAGAGAGAGAAACATCGATGTGAAAGGGACACATAGAGTGGCTGCCACTTGCACCACCAACCAGGGCCAGGGACAAACTGCAACCAAGGTATGTGCCCTTAGTGGGAACCGAACCCGGGTCTTTCTGGACTGCAGGCCAATGCTCTAACCGCTGAGCCAAACCGGCCAGGGCTCCCATTGGGGTCATTTAAAAACAGTATTCTACTGCTTCATCAGAAAGTTCTACTGCTTTAAAAGCCAAGAATCTATACAGTACCAATTTCATTTATAGTTTTAAAAATTGTTTAGATTAGTCTTTTCTTCATATTAGCATGGCCTCCATTTATTGGAAAATAAATCTCTTAATACTAAGTATTTTGTTCTATTCATTATTTTACCTCATGGCCTCAAATATTTATTGAATGAATAAATGTAGTTGTTATAAGTAATGAATAGCTAACTGCACAAAATTCAAAGAATATTTTACTTCAATGTAAAATGTCAGTATTTCCTTAAGCTAATATTCATTTCATCTTAATCATATTAATCTTAATATTCATTTCACTTTAAAGAATAATTCATATAATCATCTCAAAGCTGTCTTACCCAGTGTCCTCCATCAATGCCAGAGTGATTCGAGAGAGGACTCGGTTCTGGGTGTGAGAGCCAGTCATTGCTTCATTCTGAAAATAACCAACAGATTTTAACTACAAGACAGGACTCCTTACAACACTCAATGATTTCCATGATAACTTTGATGTGTGTGTGTGTATATATATATATATATATTTTTTTTTTTAAATATGTTTTTATTAATTTTTTGGAGAGAGAGGATGGGAGAGAAAGAAAGAAACATCGATGTGAGAGAGAAACATCGATCAGCTGCCTCCTGCACACTCCCCACTGAGAATCAAGCCCACAATCCGGGCATATCCCCTGACCAGAAATCAAACCTGAACCTCTCAGCCTATGGGACGACGCTCAATCTACTGAGCCACACCAGCTGGGCACTTTGATGTATATTTAAAGTGTCTCAAATATGAGAAGATGATGAAATATTCACTTAAAATAGTGATACATAAGACTTCTTTAAAATGAGAAGACTGGCCCTGGCCAGTTTGGCTTGGCGGTTAGTGTCGGCCTGCGGTCCGGAGAGACCCAGGTTCGGTTCCCACTAAGGGCACGTACCTCGGTTGCAGTTTTTCTCCGGCCCTGTTTGGGTCGTGTGGGTAGCAATCACTCCATGTGTCCCTTTCACATCGATGTTTCTTTCTCTCTCCCTCCCTCCCACTCTCTCTGAACAGAATATAAAAAAAAAAAAATGTCCTCGGGTGAGGATAAAAAAAAAAAAATGCCAAGACTGAAGCTTTAAGCAAAATCTACTTTTTGCCTCAAATGTCTGCACTGTGTATAATTTTTCTTGAATGGTAGACAGTTAGCATTTAAAACTCTATGATAAAAATGAGGATAAATACATAGAAACAGAAATACTATAAAAATATTATACTATCTAGGCCAATTATAGTAGGTGGTTGAGACACGCCCAGATAATACTTATACAAATGCTTTCATAACCTTCAATTTTGTGATCAGAGAAATACACATTAATATGCAAAGCAAGTATCACAGGATCAAAGAATTTGCATGAGGGATCTAAAAATATCATCAAGGACTACTATCCACCCAATGTTTTTTTCCTTAATCCTCACCCGAGGATATTTTCCATTTATTTTTAGACAGAGTAGGAAAGAGAGGTAGAGAGAAAAACATCAATGTGAGAGAGACACATTGATTGGTTGCCTCCTGTGTGATCCTGACCAGGGCTGGGGACCGAAATGCAACCAAGGTACGTGCCCTTGACTGGAATCGAACCTGTAACTCTTTGGTCCGTGGGCCAACGCTCCAACTGCTGAGCCAAACCAGCCAGGGCTCTACCCAATATTTTAATTCATATCATAAAATTCCTACCAGCAGGTCACCTAATCGTAGGGAGTTCATTGTTTCTTTTTTTTTTAATCCTCACCCGAGGACATTTTTCCATTTTTTGTTCAGGTAGAGTGGGAGGGAGAGAGAGGAACAGAGAGAGAGAGAGAGAAACATTGATGTGAAAGAACACATCGAGTGGCTGCCACCCGCACGACTGACCAGAGCCGGGGACAAACTGCAACCAAGGTACATGCCTTTAGTGGGAACCGAACCCGGGTCTCTCAGGACCGCAGGCCGATGCTTCAACCGCTGAGCCAAACCGGCCAGAGCTCATTGTCTCTTAAGAAAGCATATTCTAACTTTGGTCAGCTCTGATTATTATTCAAATCTTTATGTTGAACACTAGATAGTCTTCTCAAGTACTTTAATAACATCTTTTAAAAAAATAGTTCAAGCCTTGGCCAGTTTTGCTCAGCGGTTAGAGCGTCGGCCTGCGGTCCAGAGAGACCCAGGTTCAGTTTCCACTAAGGGTGCATACCTTGTTTGCAGTTTGTCCCCGGCCCTGGTTGGTCGTGCAGGTGGCAGCCACTCAATGTGTCCCTTTCACATCGATTTCTCTCTCTCTCTCTCTCTCTCTCCCCTCCTCTCTCTCCCTTCCACTCTATCTGAACAAAAAATGGAAAAATGTCCTAAGGTGAGGATAAAAATAAATTAATTAATTAAATAAATAAATAAGTAAATAAAGAATAGTTCAAGAACACAAAGTTGTTTTCAGAGAAAGGTATAAGTTAATAAAATTAATAAAATTATTACTCTCAAGTTTTCTACTGAAAAGTAAATAAATTTTCATTTCTGGCCAATCTACAGCTCTCTAAAGGGGATCACTTGATAAAATTGCTTTAAAAAAATTAATTAAAATTCCCACAGGAGAAATAAGTGTCTTCCAATAATTTTCCGTCATTGTTTCTGGGGCAGGGATCAAACCTGCAACCCAGGTATGTGCCCTTGACCGGGAATCAAACCTATAACCCTTTGATGCATGGGCCTATGGATGCTTTAACCACTGAGGCACATAGGCCAGGGCCTTTTACCCATTTTTAAATAGGGGTGTCTTTTTATTGTTGAGTTATAAGAGTTCTTTTTATATTCTGAATACCAGACTCTTATCAGATATATGATTTGCAAATATTTTCTCCCATTCTGTGAGTTGTCTTTTCATGTTCTTGATAGTGTCTTTTGAAACACAAAAGTTTTTTATTTTGATGAAATTCATGTTATCTATTTTCTTTGGTTGCTTATGCTTTTCATATCAGAATGTTTCTCTCTCTCTCTCTCTCTCTGGAAACCTAATAAAGGGGGAATGTCAACTATGTTACCAGGCAACAGTACATAGGGAAAAAGACCTTTTGATATGCCTCTGGACATGGGATTGCTATAAATGAACATGAATACCTGTTGGCAAATCACAGTTTGGGACTTGCCTGTGTGCAATGGCTCTTATGGGTACGACTCTTACAGGGTTCTGGAAGTTATCCATGGAAAGCCCCTAGAGTGCTGTATGGAGCACAAGAAAAATGCCAATGGCCATGCTGGCATGTTGTGTTCTTTTTTTCTGCTATCCTTCTAAGTAAATGTTTTTTTTAAGGTGGCCTGTTTAGGTCTTGTTAGTTTGTTTGTTTAGTTGAACCTAAGAACCACCACTAGAGCAACACTCCTAGAAGGCACTGCAGATTTAAATAAGTTGCTCATTACAATATTTTTAAAATAAAACATTTAAAACATAAGAATGTTGAACCTCAGCATGAAGGTGGAGGGTGGGTAGGAACAAATCAAAGAATAGGCATAACCAATGAACACACACAATAGTGTGGTGAAGTGGGAGGATGGGTAGAAGGAGGGGGTCAATAGAGGAAAAAGGTGGGACATTTGTAATACTTTCTTTTTTTTTGTTTTTGTTTTTTTATCCTCACCTGAGGACATTTTTTTTGCATTTATCTTCAGATAGAGTGGGAGGAAGAGAGGGAGGAAGAGGGAGAGAGAAACATTGATGTGAGAGAGACACATCGGGGTGGTTGCCACGCACACAACCCCAACCAGGGCTGGGGACAAACTACAACTGAGGTACATTCTCTAACCACTGAGCCAAACTGGCCAGGGCAAAACAATTCATTTCTTTTTTTTTTTTTTTTTTTATCCTCACCCGAGGACATTTTTTGATATTTTATTCAAATAGAGTGGGAGGGAGAGAGAGAGAGAGAGAAACATCGACGTGAAAAGGACACATCGAGTGGTTGCCACCGTCACAACCAAACCAGGGCTGGGGACAAAACGCAACCGAGGTACGTGCCATTAGTGGGAACCGAACCCAGGTCTCTCCAGACCGCAGGCCAATGCTCCAAACACTGAGCCAAATTGGCCAGGGCCTGAGGTACGTTCTCTTAGCGGAAACCAAACCCGGGACTCTCTCGTCCGTGGGCTGATGCTCTAACCACTGAGCCAAACCAGCCAGGGCAATACTTTCAACAATAAAGATGAATTTTTAAAAAACAGGAATGTTGTTACATTCATATATTACCATGTAGCTGTTAAAAAATGAGTGGATCCAGTATACAGTCTATTCTGCTAAAGTATTTGTTTCTGTAATGTGAATGAGCTCATGTGAGCCTAATAAGGAAATATCATCATCATCATAAGGAATCATGTTGGTTCATAAGATTATCCCCCTGGATTTTAATGTTTTGTGCAATGGAGCAACAACAGCTAAATACAAAGAATACTAAGACAGCTAAACACAGCAACCAACAAGTACTATACTGTGCAGGATGTCCATTCCCACCACACTCTTCAACTTGGTCAGAGGCTCTGACTTGGAAGTGCTTATTGAATGGTTCTCTCTAATCTTTGCACAATTTTACTCTTTTCCTCCATTGCTCAGATTTATAGTCTCCCATCCAGTTATTATTGCTTTTGTTGTTGTTTAATGTAATAAATACTCGAGTAAATATAGGAGTTTAATTATTGGAAGTATGATGCCTTTTTAAACCAAGCTAGTACTTTTATTATGACTTATTGCTTTTATTAGTGCTCTTGTGTTTGTTTTTCCCACAAGCCTTGTTATTTTTAGTGTTCAATTTTTAAGAAAGACTTTTTTTAGGGAGGCATACATTGTACTACAGTGGAAGTACTTCACTATCTTGGCGAAATGTCTAAGATATAAGATGTATGTTAGTTTATATCTCTGAAAAGATATACAAAAAAACTTAAAAAATTATTACTTCAGGAAAGTGGATCTGGAAAGCTAAAGCGGAAAAGGGACTTAAACTTTTTTTTTTTTTACTTTATACATTATTATGCTGTTTGAATAACTCTTACCATGAGGAAGAAAAAATATGCCTAGTATAATATTAAAGAAAAAAATATACCTAGTAAAATTTTAAAGTAAACTCACCTCTAATAATCGCTTTTCCCAATGGTTGAGCTCAGTGCCCATACCACCTTGATTTTCAAGTTCCATTCCTTCTAAAATTGGACAGTTAAAATGTTTTCGTGCTTCATCCTAAGAATCAGAAAAAATATAAACCCTACAAAAGTACAATAAGATAATGGCAAACTCTCTATCACACTAGATATGTAATAAAGTAGACATTAAAGAATGAATTACTTTGGTGAGAAGAGTGAACATCTTTTAAAAATATGGTTTTTAATACAATTAAATAAATGTCACACTCTGCTAGAAAATTACTATTTCTCTTCATATTTTATATATATATTCCTCACCCAAGGATATTTATTTATTTATTTATTTATTTATTTATTTAATCCTCACTCAAGAACAAATATATATATATATAATCTTCACCTGAGGACATTTTTTTCTATTTTTTTTTTTGTTGTTGTTCAGATAGAGTGGGAGGTAGAGAGAGGAAGAGAGAGAGAGAGAAACATCGACGTGAAAGGGACACATTGAGTGGCCGCCACCCGTATTACCCAACCAGGGCTGGGGACAAACTGCAATCAAGGTACATGCCCTTAGTGGGAACCCAACCCGGGTCTCTCTGGACCGCAGGCTGACGCTCTAACTGCCAAGCCAAACCAGCCAGGGCAAAGATATTTTTATATTTATCTTCAGACAGAATGGGAGGAAGGGAGGGGAGAGAGAGAGAGAAACATCGATGTGAGAAAGACACATCAACTGGTTGCCACCCATACGACCCCAACCAGGGCCAGGCACAAACCGCAACTGAGGCATGTGCCATTGGCTGGAATCGAGCCCGGGACTCTTTGGTCCGCAGGCCCACACTCTAACCACTGAGCCAAACTGGCCAAGGAAAGACATGTATTTTTTTAACTGATTTTTTTTTTGAGAGAGAGAGACACACACATCAGAGAGGAAGGGGGAGGGAGAGAGAAAAACATCAACATGAGAGAGAAACATCGATCAGTTGCCTCCTGTACATACCCTGACCAGGAACTGAACCTACAACCTAAGTATATAACCTGACTAGGAATCAAACCCACAACTTTTTGGTGTATGGGATGAGCCACCCAGCCAAGGCTCTTCATATTTTTTTCTCTTTAAAGATTTTGACTTTAAGTAACATACATTTCAAAATAGTTAACAGACTTGTATGATTGCCATTTGTAACTCTGTTAACAATGTTAGTGTAGCTGTATAAACTGCTCTTATTATGGATACAGTTTTTGCAGGAAAAATGAGTTGTTCATTAGAATACAATTTTGTTCATTTGATTCTATCTGTCCATCAGCTAGAGACTTCCTGGGATAGAAAATAGGCCAAGAGCAGTGCAAAAGTTCAGAAGGCTCTTAGAGAGAGCTGTCAAGGAAGGAGAAAGGGAGAATAAGTTTCTGTCATTACATAAGCATGTGATAGCTAGTTTTATGTCATCTTGGCTGGGCCACAGTGCTCAGATCTTTGCTCAAACATTACTCTGGATGTTTCTGTGGAGATGCTTTTGGATGAGATTAACATTTAATGTAGTGGAGTTTGAGTAAAGCAAATTTATAGAGGGGCCTCATCCAATCAATTAAAGGCATTAATAAAACGACAATTGACCTTACCCAAGCAAGAAGGAATTACATCAGCACATTGCATTTGGATTCAAACTACAACTCTGCCCTGAGTCTCTAGCCTGCCAGCCTACTCTATCAGATTATGGATTCTCTAAACCTCCACAGTTACATAAGGCAATTCCTTTAAATAAATCTCTTTCCACTCCCCATCTCCCACGTCAACACATCCTGTTGGTTCTGTTTCTCTGGAGAACTCTAGCTAATACAGACTCCAAATTAAATGACCACCAATTATGCAAATAATACCAATAATCCTAAAAGCTATCAAAACAGAGGTGCACTGGCTTAGAGCAGAGGGCATAATGGGAACCAGGAGAGTCATATTTCTCTGAGTCTGTAGCTTTATTGTACTGCCTTTATATTAAATTTCCTAATATAGGCTCTAAAATTTAATCATAAGTTCTTAAATAATAATAATTAGTAAAGAAAAGAACATTATGAATTAAAAGAGCAGATGGCTCATGAGACAATAATAAGTTAGTCATACTTACCACAACACGAGGTGTTACTAGGAGATATACAGTATGAGGAACTATCTTGTTATCTCGAACATCCCATAATCTCTCCACTTTTTGAACTACTTTATCACTCCATTGATATAACCCAAGACTGTATTTAAAGGATAAGAAGACCATCACTTTTGCAAATTCACCACAGTAAATGTGTTTATGGATATCAATAAAATTAAAATATTTGAGCTTACCATGTACCAAGTCCATACAAAGTACTTGAAAACATTTTCCTATTTAACCCTTTCAACATCATGAGATTATCATTACCATGTCATAGATAAAGAAACAGAAACTTAGAGAGATGAAGTAACTTGCTCAAGTCTACATAACCAATACTTGGCTAAGATGGCAATAAATAATTTCCTTTTAAAAATTTATTGGGAAAAAAAACAAGTCCAGAGACATATAAAAGTATATGAAGAAACTTAAACAAAAAAAGATGGCACTTTAATTTAGTGGGAAAGTATAATTTATGTAATAGTGTAAAACAGGTTATACATCTAGGAAAAAAGTTAAATCCCTATTTCATTCCATACACAGAAATAAATTCCAGACAGATGTCAGCAAAAATGGCAGAGTAAGGACCTCTAAAAATTCTCTGCCTTGAGAAAGCAATGAGAAAAGTAGCAATATTGACCAAATCAACTTTTTCAGAACTCTGGAAATTAACCAAAGGTTTGCAGCAATCCAGGAAGCATTTAAGAAAAATGGATGAATCTCATGAATTTTTAAAAATGAATTGTAAGAGAGGACTCCTGGTCAAGATGGCGGAGTAGGTAAACGCGGTATCGCGTCCTCCCACAACCACATCAAAGTTGCAACTAAACTATAGAACAACCATCATTCAAAACCGCCTGAAATCAAGCTGAATGGGAGTCCTACAACTATGGAATTAAAGCAGCAGCCACATCCAGACTGGTAGGAGGGGCGAAGGCGCGAGGGGCGGTGGCGGCTTGATGGGCTGGTCCCACACCCAAGTGTGGCTGATAAAAATCAGGATACCTCGGCTGGGAAGGTCCTTCCTGAGGACTGAGGGGTCCCCGTCCCACACCAGGTGCCCCGCTCAGGGTTCCAGTGCCAGGAAGAGAATCCTATAACTTCTGGCTGGAAAAACCAGCGGGAACTGAGGTTCAGGGAAGCTAACGCGGCTGGAGCCCCAGGCAGCTCCCTAAAGGGCCCGCGCACGGACTTATCGGACTCTCTCCCTCTAAGCTCGGAGGGGAGGCAGCTCCAAGGGCACCAGAGACATACAGGGAAGAACTGAGCTGTTTGGCACTGGAGCGAGGGCTGGAGAGGGGGCTTTGTCGGGGACAAACGTGCTGTCAAAGGCCTTTGTTCCTTTGGTGAGCCCTTCCCTGGGGCGGCAGACAGTCGCCATATCTGGAACTCCAGCAACCTGGCTCACACTCATAGCCCCGCCCTGGTGACTCACTGAGGCCCCGCCCCACCCCACCCAACTTTCTAGCCCACCCAAGCTGTTGCCACTTGCTTAACCACAGGATTGGCCTGTCTTGGATCCTGCTTCAGGTTTTTCCAAAATTCTTTCAAACGAGCAGCATCTGGTCTCAGCGAGCCCCATACCTCTCGTCAAGTAATACACTGAAACAAACACAGGGAGGCAGCCAAAATGAGGAGACAAAGAAACAGGTCCCAAATGAAAGAACAGAATAAAACCCCAATAAAAGAACTAAGTGAAATGGAGATAAGCAACCTAACAGATGCTGAGTTCAAAATACTGCTTATAAGGATGCTCAATGAACTTAGTGAGAACCTCAGTGAACTTAGGGAGGGCCTCAAGAGCATAAAAAAGGACCAGTCAGAAATCATGGATGCAGTTAGAATTGAAGGAGGCATTAACTGAAATAAAGAATAATTTACACAGCTTCAATAATAGAGTATGTAAATCCAAGGAGCAAACCATCGATTTGGAATATAAGGAAGCAAAAAACACCCAATCAGAACAGCAAAAAGAAAAAAGAAGCCAAAAAAATGAGGATAGTGTAAGGAGCCTCTGGGACAACTTCAAACGTGCCAACATTCGCATCTTGGGGGTGCCAGAAGGAGAAGAGAGAAAACAAGAAATCGAAAACCTCTTTGAAACAATAATGGCAGAAAACTTCCCTAACTTGGGGAAGGAAACAGACATACAAGTCCAGGAAGCACAGAGAGTCCCAAACAAGATGAACCCCAAGAGGTCCACATCAAGACACATCATTATCAAAATGCAAAAGGTTCAAGACAAAGAGAGAATCCTAAAAGCAGCAAGAGAAAAGCAGATAATCACCTACAAGGTAGTTCCCATAAGGTTGTCAGCTGATTTCTCAAAAAAAACTTTGCAGGCCAGAAGGGAGTGGCAAGAAATATTCAGAGTTATGAAAAGCAAGAATCTACAACCAAGATTACTCTATCCCGCAAAGCTGTCATTTAGAATTGATGGCCATATAAAGACTTTCCCAGACATGAAAAAGTTAAAGGAGCTCATCACTACCAAACCGTTATTATATGAAACGATGAAGGGTCTTTTTGAAGAAAAAGATAAAATATATGAACAAACAAAATGGCAATGAGTACATATCTGTTGACAATGGAATCTACAAACAAAATGAACAGGCAGAACAGAAACATTCTCATAGATACAGAGAACATTTTGTTGGTTGGCAGTTGGGAGGGGGTTGGGGGAATGGTTGAAAAAGGTGAAGAGATTAAGAAGTACAAAATCATTGCTAGACTGACAAACCTCAAAGGGAAAGGGGTTGGGGTGGTGGAAAGAAATAAACCAAAGAACTTATATGCATAACCAATGGACACAGATAATAGTGTGGGAAAAGGCGGGAGTGGGGCGGGAGTGGGAAGGAGGGGGTCAATGGGGGAAAAATGTGGAACATCTGTAATACATTTTACATCCAACAATAAAGATTAAAAAAAAAAATGAATTATAAGAACAGCAGGCTTTGTGGTGTTTTCCCAGGCCCTCTCTCCTGTCTTGTGGCAGGCTTGAAAACCAAAGTCCCAGACACGGTGAAAACCAGCAACTTGGCAGCCACCAGAGGGGACAGTATGGAACTGACAGAAGAATGCATAAAAAACAACCATGATCCAATTACATGTCTACAAGAGACACAGTTCAGACTCAAGGACACAAAGAAGAAGAATATGAAAGGATTAAAAATGTATGAAATTCAAAGAGTATTCAAGAGAGAACTGGAATGCCTATATTAATATCAGACAAAATAAACTTTAAGAAAAACATTGGTACTAGACAAAAAGAAAGAAATTTTCTAATGATGAAAGGGGTCAATTCACAAGATATAAAAATACCCTCTTTGCCCAGTGTGCCACTGAGTTGGTGTGGCTCAGTGAATTGAGGTTGTCCCATGAAGTGAGAGGTTCGATTCCTCTTCAGGGCACATGCCTGGGTTGCGGGCTCGATCTCTGGTGGGGGTGGGGAGGATGCACAGGAAGCAGCCCACTTCAATGTTTCTATCACAAATGTTCCCATGGCAGCCCAGCCGGTGTGGCTCAGTGGTTGAGCGTGGACCCACTCACTGGGAAGTCGTCCCGTTCAATTTCTGGTCAGGGCACATGCCCAGGTTGTGGGCTCAATTACAGTGGGGGGGCGTGCTGGAGGTGGCCAATTGATGTTCTCTCTAGTTGATGTTTCTATCTCTCTCTCCCTCTCCCTTCCTCTATCTCTAAAGAAAAACACACACACAAAAAAAACTGGAGGTCTACAATGTTACTCGTTGCAAAACTGGAAGTCTACAATGTTACCCATTATACAGTGGGCACTGTTGTGAACAAACAAGTTAAGGGCAAGATTCTTGCCAAGAGAATTAATGTACATATTGAACATATTAAGTATTCTAAGAGTCAAAATAGCTTCCTAAAACATGTGATGAAAAATCATCAGAAAAAGAAGGAAGCCAAAGAGAAAGGTACCTGGGTTCCATTGAAACATCAGCCTGTTCCATCGAGAGCTCATTTTGTGAGAACCAATGAATAGGAGCCTGAGCTGTGGGAGCCCATTCCCTATGAATTCATGGCATGATAAGTGTAAAAAAATAAAAGATATATTATAAAAGAACAAGAATACATGAAGCAAAAATAAATTTCAAATAGATTAACATTATGAATGTAAAAAATTTAAACAATAATTTACTGTAATATTTTTAAAATTGATTTTAGAAAGAGAAGCAGAGAGATGGAGAGAGAGAGAGAAACATCGACGTGAGACAGAAACATAGATTGGTTGCCTCCCGACTGGAGATTAAACATGTAACCTGGGTGTATGTGCCCTAACCGTGAATCAAACCCATGACCTTTTGGTATATGGGACCATACTCCAACCAACTGAGCCACACTGGTCAGGGTTAGAATAATATTTTATAATCTTTGGAAGGCAGAAACTTTCTTAAGCAATAAAGGAAAAACTAGATAAATTTAATGATATAAAATATTAAAAACTTCTTTGTATAGCAAAAATATAATAAAATAAAAAAATAACTAAATGAAAAAAATTTGCAACAAACATCAAGAAGGGTTAATATCCCTAATTTCTAAAAAATATTTTTTAAAAATATGTTTGTATATATTATTTTAGAGAGCAGAAGGAAGAGAGAGAAATATCGATTGCCTGCATGCCCCTAATGGGGATTGAGCCCAAAACCCGGGCATGTACCCTGACCAGGAATCAAACTAGGACCTCTCAGTCCATGGGACAACACTCAATCCACTAGCCACACCAGGTGGACATTTATAAAGAACTTTAAAAAAAATGATTAGAAAAGGAAAAATAACCCAAAAGACTGGAGAAAGAAAATAAATAGGTAGTGTACAAAGAGAAAATGCAAATGCTAAAACCTCAGTAGTAGTCCTGGAAATACAAAATACCATGTTTTACCCATCACACTGACCTAAAAAAAAAAAGAGAGAGATCCAGTACTGGTTAGGTGGCAAGAAAAGCACTCATATCACTGATGGGAGTGTGCCCTGACACAACTTAAAAAAAAAAGTGACATGGCAGTTTTCACTACAGTTTATAATGGACATAGATTTTAAACTAACAATCCCTCTTTGGGGGATCTATCTTGCTCAAACAGAAGCACTACTACAAAAGTACTATATTTATTTATTATAGAAAATTATGATGAACATTGATTTTTATTTTTCCCTATAATCTAAGAATTTTTCTGGCTTTTTTTCCTAGATTACTTCTACAATTGACCTCATGAATCTCTCATTTTCACCAATAAAACAAAATGTGAAGAGGCTATTTTTTCCCACCATTATTTTATAAAAATTTGAAACCTAAAGAATGCTGAAAGAATTACATGGTGAGCATCTATATATCCAATACTCATTATCTTAATTCTGCAATTAGCATTTTGTTCTGTTTGTTGTAGCATATATCTGTTCATCTATCCATGCCATAGAGAGGTTATTCTTTTTGTTGTTGTTGTTGTTAAGAATATGTTTTTATTGATTTTAGAGAGAGCAGAAGGGAGAGAGAGAGAGAAACATTAATGAGAGAGAGATATCAATCACTGGCTCCTGTGGCGTACACCCCCTACCAGGGTTCAAGACCGAAACCCATGCATATGCCCTGACCAAGAATCGAACTGGCATGGGAGAACCTCCTGGTGCATGGGAGAATACTTAACCAATTGAGCCACACAGGGCTAGAGGGGTTATTCTTGATTCCTTTTATCTTTTCAATGGTGCAGCATGTTTAAACATAAATAGTGAACAAAGTTAGCAAGAAAATAAAGTTTTTACCTTATTAATAACTCTAATACCCTCATCATTATTCACAATTCAAGATTAACAGTTTCTCCAAACAGATTGATTAGGGCCAAATCCAAATCTTTATATGTTTAACAGCTGAATTTCTTATTACTCTATTTAATCTCCACTTAAAATTTCTGCTTTTGAGGAATATCTTCGATGCAAGAAAGCACTACAAATGATCAGCTTAAGGTTCTTATGTGTGGGCATCTCTCTCCTCCTTACCTACATTGCTATGTAGATGATGTTGACCTCCACATTTACGTTTCCCTTAAATACCACAATTCTTAGGGAATGCCTGACTTCTTTCACACCACCAAACAAACACAATCCGTGGAGGAAAACATCTATTTTTACACCAGAATTCCGTTTCTTCATATGTACTCTAAAAATATTATGATGAATATCATATTATCTTCTTCAGTATTTATTTAATCCTAAATATTTTATAGAGATCTTTGTAATTAAGGTAAAATATATATAAAATAAACAAATTTTAAGTATAAAGATTAATTTTTTATTCTACATCCATATACCACTACTCTGATAAAGACATGCAACAGTGGCAGCACCCCTGGAAAGGTTTCTTTGTGCCCCCTTCCTAATTTATACTCAACTTAATGGCATTTAGCAGCCTGCCCCTCAAGTAAAACCACTATGTGTCTTTCATCATTGCCAGTTTTTAAACTCCATACAAATGGACTGATTTCTTTTACTCAACATTATATCTGCAAGCAGCAATAGTGTATCCTTTTTTAGTGTTTTATAGTTTTCAATTATAGGAATATATCACAATTTATGTATTCATTCTACTACTGATGGACCTTTAGGTAGTTTCCATTTGGGAAGAACTGATAACAAAACTGCCATGAACATTCTAGTACACCTTTTTGTGGACATGTGCTCTTAATTTAGAGATTTTTAAATATTTTTTCTTTATTGATTTTAGAGAGGAAGAAGGGAGAGGGAGAGAGAGAGATTGAAGCATTGATGACAGAGAACGTGGACTGGCCACCTCCTGCATGCCCCATCTGGGGATCGGGCCCACAACCTGAGCATGTGCCCTGACTGGGAATTGAACCGGTGCATAGGTCGACGCTCAACCACTGAACCACAAAATCCAGGCAATTTAGAGATTTTTATATGAATGCATGCAAATGTGTAGTTATAGTTCTGTGACTGGTATTCTATATAAAATTTTTGATACTTTTTTAGTGTTTCTTAACATTATTTATTTTAGGTCCCAAACCTCTAGATCATAGATAATATGCTGTGCTAAATAAAATATCAGTTTACATGTAAATATTTCCATGTATAGGCAATAACTATAAATAAACCAAATTATAACCAACCCACATTTTTCCATGGCCTAACTATATTGTGAATCAGCAATTTTAAACTGGTGTGCTGCAAGAATTATAAAACATACAATACCTGACTATTTAGTCAGGGGCACTGACCTCTTTTCCCTTAGACTTTCAAATTAAAAATGACAACAGCTAACAAACACAGCGATAGCCGTCGGTGTAAATGAGTCAAAATTATACCTACTGGACTTCCGGTCAAGATAGCAGCGTAGGTGAACACGGTATCGCGTCCTCCCACAACCACATCAAAGTTACAACTAAACTACAGAACAACTATCATTCAAAACCACCTGAAATCAAGCTGAATGGAAGTCCTACAACTACAAAATTAAAGAGGAATTAAAGAAGCAGCCACATTGAGACTGATAGGAGGGGCAGAGGCAGGATGGGCTGGTCCCACACCAATGTGTGGCGCATAAAAATCAGGAGGATACCTCAGCTGGGAAGGTCCTCTCTGAGGACTGAGGGGTCCCCACACCAGGCGGCCAACTTAGGGTTCCAATGCCAGAAAGAGAAGTCCCCATAACTTCTGGCTGGAAAAACCAGTGGGAACTAAGGCTCAGGGAAGCTGATGCAGCTGGAGCCCCAGGCAGCTCCTCTTAAAGGGCCTGCGCATGAACTTATCAGACTCACTCCCTCTAAGCTTGGAGGGGAGGCAGCTCGAGGGGCGCCAGAGACATACAGGGAAGAACTGAGCTGTTTGGCACTGGAGCGAGGGCTGGAGAGAGGACTTTCTCCGGGACAAACGTGCTGTCAGAGGCCTTTGTACCTTTGGTGAGCCCTTCCCTGGGGTGGCAGACAGCTGCCATTATCTGGGACTCCAGCAACCTGGCTCACACTGGTTGCCCCGCCCTGGTGACTCCCTGAGGACCTGCCCCACCCAACTTTCAGGCCCACCCAAGCTGTTGCCAGTTGCTTTACCATAGGATTGGCCTGTCTTGGATCCTGCTTCAGGTTTTCCTAAATTCTTTCAAACGAGCAGCATCTGGTCTCAGCTACCCCATATCTCTTGTTAAGTAATACATAGAAACAAACACAGGGAGGCAGCCGTAATGAGGAGACAAAGAAACAGGTCCCAAATGAAAGAAAAAAACAAAGCCCCAGGAAAAGAACTAAGCAAAATGGAGATAAGCAACCTAACAGATGCTGAGTTCAAAATACTGCTTATAAGGATGCTCAATGAACTTAGGGAGGGCCTCAAGAGCATAAAAAAGGACCAGTCAGAAATGAAGGAGGCACTAACTAAAATAAAGAATAATTTACACAGATTCAATAGTAGAGAAGGTAAAGCCAAGAAGCAAACCATCGATTTGGAATATAAGGAAGCAAAAAACACCCAATCAGAACAGCAAAAAGAAAAAAGAAGCCAAAAAAATGAGGATAGTGCAAGGAGCCTCTGGGACAACTTCAAACGTGCCAACATTCGCATCTTGGGGGTGCCAGAAGGAGAAGACAGAGAACAAGAAATCGAAAACCTCTTTGAAACAATAATGGCAGAAAACTTCCCTAACTTGGGGAAGGAAACAAACATACAAGTCCAGGAAGCACAGAGAGTCCCAAACAAGATGAACCCCAAGAGGCCCACACTAAGACACTTCATCATCAAAATGCAAAAGGTTCAAGACAAAGAGAGAACCCTAAAAGCAGCAAGAGAAAAGCAGATAATTACCTACAAGGGAGTTCCCATAAGGTTGTCAGCTGATTTCTCAAAAGAAACTTTGTAGGCCAGAAGGGAGTGGCAAGAAATATTCAGAATGATGAAAAGCAAGAACCTACAACCAAGATCACTCTATCCTGCAAAGCTGTCATTTAGAATTGATGGCCATATAAAGACTTTCCCAGACAAGGAAAAGTTAAAGAAGTTCATCACCACCAAACCGTTATTATATGAAATGTTGAAGGGTCTTTTTGAAGAAAAAGATAAAAAATATAAACAAACAAAATGGCAATGGATACATATCTATCGACAATGGAATCTACAAACAAAATGAACAGGCAGAACAGAAACAATCTCATAGATACAGAGAACATTTTGTTGGTTGTAAGATGGGGGGGGGATGGGTGAAAAATGTGAAGGGATTAAGAAGAACAAATTGGTTGCTAGACTGACAAACCTCAAAGAGAAGAGAGGAAATAAACCAAAGAACTTATATGCATAACCAATGGACACAGACAACAGTGGGAAAAGGCAGGAGGGGGGTTGGAGTGGGGAGGAGGGGGTCAATGGGGGGATAATGAGGAACATCTGTAATACATTCAACAATAAAGATAATAAAAAAAATTATACCTACTTTTTTTGTCAGATTGGCAAAATATATAATTTTTTTTTTTGGTATGCCTCAGAATTTTAGTAATTGATTTATGTGTGCCATGAGATGAGAAAGATTGAAAATCACTGCTGTAAAGTAATACAAGTTATAATATAGTAGAAAAGAGCCCTGCCTGGCAAGAAGAGTTCTGGCTCCTTGGACAAGTCACTAAAACTCTCTGCACCTCAAATGCTTCATCTGTAAAGTTAAAAGTGAAGGTAAATGACCTCTTTTACCCTATCTTGTTTTAATAGCTACAATTTTCTTAGGCTAGCCATAAAACCACTGCTATTAATGGCACTTAACATGCTATGATTCTCATATTTTAGTCTTAGTATTCCTCCTAAAAGAGAACAAGAATAAAAATAACAAATACCTGTAATTAAAAAGTGGGAGACCATCTGCAAATCTTGAAGTTAGAGGATTTCCATCTTTATCATGGTAGAATGCAAATAAACCAGCAGAGAAACCCTATAAAAAAAGTTCAAAATGTCTTAAAGTAAAAAACATCAATTCTGATTAGAGACGTCATAACATGCTGCTATCAAAAAAGAACACTGATATAATCACATAAAAGCACTACATCAATATTTCTATGAGAACTTCTCATATTGAAATTGGACAAAAATTAAGTGTTTCATACTTTTGAATTTTAAATTCCAATTACTTGAGGTTACTAAGTGAGGAAACCAAAAGTCATGGAAACCAAGATATTCTTTAGTAGTGGTATTTGTTTAAGAATGTGTTTATCACAGCTGTTCTTCATGTGAACTTACTAAACTCTATAAATGCATCCAGGAACTGCTACTATTGAAAACAATTAACAATATAGAATAGGGGGTGAGTGATCAAATATGTTCCTAAAAACATTCATAAAAATTCAAAGTCTTTGATCCCAAAGTCCACATTTAATATATATCTATACTTAAAAAAATACACGCGTGTGTGTGTGTGTGTGTGTGTTTGTGTGTGTACACTTAAGAAAACTAGAAACAAAAAAAAGGAGGCGGGGACTGGAAATATAATCAAAATGTTAACTGTGGTTCTTCTGCTGGTAGGATAATGTGTAAAACCACTCATAGTCCCAAAATTGTTTTACAGTGTGAATTTGTATCTTTATCACATTTTAAATAGATTTTAAAGAAGTCTTCAATTTTAATGATAATGTATACTTCACATAAAGATATTCAAATTCCTACTCTTTATACCTCCCTTTCCAAATAAGATGAGAAAATGGGCAAAAAAATTGTTGACATTAGATATCTCCTATTTCATTGGTAAGATTTCTTTTCCTGCTTTCTTTCCTAATCTAATGACTAAAACAAAGCACTTTTGTAACTACTTCTTTATGTATGTCATACATTGGGACTATGTTATAGCTTATATTAAAATAACTAACAATTATAAATGATCACTAAATCAATTTCATTGGCAAATTTCTTTGCTTACATAACTGTGTCCTCTGTGTCATTCAAGGCTTGCCAAAATGATTAATGGAATCCAGATTATTCTTTTATTCATATAGTTCTTTTTTAATCTCTGAAGATGCAAAGGACACTTAATGGAATCAGCTAAGAAAATCTAGTTTTAGATATACAATTCACTGAAGTTATATAAAGCTTAAAATAATATGATTTGTCTCATCCTGTATAATACCCCAAATGCACACTGTTCCTCATCCTATCATCAACTAGAAAATTTTTCTAAGCACTCATATTTCAGAAGGATTATCCAGTATTCAAAGTACCGTGGATGAGTGTAGTTGATAGCTATGAACATATTTAACTTTACAAAGATTATCTGTAGTTGCTAAACATTTAATTTTGACCATCATCCAGAATGGTTTAGACTTAAATGATCTCTAAATTTCCTAGGTTTTTATACTTTTAAAAATAATTCAAATATACAAAAAAGTTTCAAAATCTAATAGAAATTTATACATTCTCTTTAAGAGGATTGAAGATGTTAGTTTTGCCATATTTTCTTCAGATTTTTTTAAAGAAATAAAACACTAGAGTAAATACTGCTGAAGCCTCACTAGCTAACCTTTTGTCCTCCCTCTCTTCCCAGAGAGTAACCACTGCCTTGAAGTCAATTTGCATAACTCTCATACATTTTTTTTTATATTCAATGGTATTTCACTTTAATTTGACTGCTAAGGCAAGTGTGAATGCCTTCTCATATATTTCTTGGCCAACTGAAGTTTTTCTTTTGTGAATTGCCTATTCATAACCTAATTTATCTCCTGTTTGGGACCTCTGCATTCATGTTCACCTATGAACTAGACTTAATAACCTGTTGTTTTTCTCTGGTTCTCTCAAGTATCTATAGATTTTATAACTTAAAGCTTAAAACGTTACTTAGGCCGGGCTGATGTGGCTCAGTGAACTGAGCCTAGTCCCATGGGCTGAGAGATCCTGGTTCAATTTCTAGTCAGGGCATATGCCTGGGTTGTGGGCTCGATCCTCAGTAGGGGGTGTGCAGGAGGCAGCCAATCTATATTTGTCTCTCACATCTATCTCTCTCTCCCTTTCTCTCTCTAAAAAAAACAACAAAAACATATTTTTTTTAAATGTTACTGTTATAACCCAGTAATTCTCCATCTGCTAGAAGAAGGAACCTCTCCTGGGTTCCTTGAACCCGAGTTGTTTTTGCAAAAATTCTTGAAGAGGAAGGTATGCATCACCATGACCACAAGGGTATTGACCATGAGCTTAAATAATCAGGAGATGCCAGGCGGGGCAATGAGACATTCAAGGCTAGGGTCTAGTAAATGTTAAGAAATATAAAATAAACAACTTGTACAGCTACTAACTGCTGATATCTGCTTTTGTACATGTAGCTTGCTTGCTCTGCTAAATTCTTGAGTAACTCCTGTCCTATATAAGCAACCCTCCCCCTGAGCTCAGGGCTGCAGTTCTCCTCTGTGTAGGTTGGCTGCAGTCCCTGAGCAGGTAATAAAGCTCCTAATATTCAAAACTACTTTGTGTCCGAGTGAGGTTGATTCTCCTGGGTTACAACAGTTACTTAGAACGACTCTTGTCTTTCACCAAATTTAGCAGGTTCGACTTACCTTTTTAAATAAAGGAGAAACAGATTATTCATTTTAGAATCTCCTTACTTGAAAGATGTAAGTACTATCTGATTACACTAGTTTCACCAAGTTATTCAATGTATTTGCTGACTTAAAGACTGAGGCTTAAGAGGAATACAGCCAAGGGAAACACAGGGAAATGGAGTTGGACTATTAGGTTGTTAGTCCTGAACTCCACACTTTATACTTCTCATAAATCAATATATTTCCTTAATATTTGAGACAAACACATACACAAAAACTGAGGCCTGCATTTCAAGATCATATATGACAGTTCACTAAATAAATCTAATAGATAATAGCCACTAATTTTATTACATCTTACTATGTACAACATGGTGCTAAGCCATTATTTATATGTTTTTGTCTTATTTAATCTTCAACAGAAAAAAATCCATTGTAGTATGTACTACTATCTTCATCTTACAGATGAAATTGAGGCTTATAAAGGCTAAGAAATTTGCACAAGATCCCAAAGATTTTTAGTGATAGAATTCAGGGTAATCTACACCTAGATCTGTGTAATCAATTCTCTCTCTTAAATTTACTGCAATCTACTTTCTAAATACACAAATGGCATCAGGAGAACATTCGCTATGGTCTTAGGCAACATTGTTTAATTCCCTAGACATATAGTAAAAATTCACTCTTTTGGATAAATTGGGGAAATGGAAGAAGTTCTGAATCAGTTAGTCTTATATACATTTAGAAAGACTAAACAGACCAAGAGGACTTTTAGGAATGAGATCTTTGTAGGAGATAAGAAAGATCTATAATTAGTATATCAGTCCTCATTTTAGAGGAAAGTAAATTTTCCTAAATAAGTTTTTTTTCTATAGAAACTTAAATCATTTTCTCAAAAATCCTATTTGTCTAATGGATTAACTTGTTTGATTATTTTAAGTAGTATAACTCAACCTATCTCATATGCTAATCATTAGAAATTGCTTAATCAACTAGGTTTTACGCAACATGAATCTAAGAATATACGTAATCTTAATATGTAACATATACATCAAAAGGAAAGTACAATAAATAGAACACCAAGGCACATGCGCACACACACACATACACAAACACACACACTAGTTAGTAGGAAAATTTACCAGGGCATGAATAATTTCATGTTTCACTGTGGACAGCATTCCAATAAATTCCTGAGGCTGGGTAGAGATCATATTTGGACACAGGTTAGCATATCCTGCTATTGGCCTGTTAAAACAGACATTGAATTTTTATTATATTCCAGAATATACCTTCTATTTATTAGCCTAAACTTTTCTATCAAAAACTGCCCAAGGTCGTGCCCTGGCCAGTATGGCTCAGTTGGTTGGAGTATCTTTTCATACACTATAGGTGGTGGGTTCAATTCCTGGTCAGGGCACATACCTAGGTTGCAGGTTCAATCCCAGGTCTGGGAGAATAAAGGAGGCAACCAATCGATGTTTCTCTCTCTCTCTCTCTCCTCTCTCTCTAAGATCAATTAAAAAAAAAAAAAAAACTGCCCAAGGTCAGAAAAATTTTTGCTAAAAATAAAATGTCATTTTGTACAATAACATCTAACTTTCATTCTCTTTTACTCTGAAGACATATACCTCTGTGTTCCTATGGCATGGTTAATCAACACTTATTCCTACAAAAGGATTTAATCAATTATACTTTAGTGTGAATTTTTTAAATATGTCAATCCATACCAAAAAGGAATGTACTGAAAAATTCAAATTCTAACACTATTTTACTTGCAAAATCCATATTTGACTTCAGCATTTCACTATATTTACAGGCAGAAGGACGGACAAGTAGAGAGTGAAACCAGATATACAATAGGAATAAGCAAATCATTCAGGTTGCTGACAGTTGCTGAATCTTCTTATCTTCATCTCACTAGACCTCTTTCCTGCCCTAACACTGCCTTCAATCATATAAAAATCTTTATCTTCCCATTATCTTCTTTCATATATTATACCTTATAGAATCTACAGAATTCTACATCTCCTGTGCACCCAGAACCTGAGAGTCGAAGAGCTGACTAGGACCCAAAGTAGTTCAGTCAGTTCCACCATGCACCTACCTGTCTTTCAAAAGTGATGGCAAATAAACACACAATGGTGAGGAACCCCAAAGTCCTTTATCTCACCACTACCTTAACATTTTACCATAGTGCCCTGGCCAGTTTGGTTCAGCACTTAGAGCATCAGCCCGTGGATCAAACAGTCGCAGGTTCAATTCCAGTCAAGGGCACGTACCTCAGTTGCAATTCGTCCCTGGCCCTGGTCAGTGTTGTGTCAGAGACAACCAATTGGTGTGTCTATCTCACATAGGTGTTTCTCTCTCTCAGCCCCTCCCTCCCACTCTATCTGAAAATAAATGGAAAAATATCCTCAGGTGAGGATTAAAAAAAAAAACATTTTACCATAGAAATACCACAAACTTCACTAAATTTTGATGGCCTATTTACAAAGTAACATTAGTCTTATTTAAATAAAAGACTTATAGTAGCCCTGGCCAGTTTGGTTCAGTGGTTGGAGCGTCGGTCCAGAGAGACCTGCAGTCCAGAGAGACCCGGGTTCGGTTCCCACTAAGGGCACGTACCTCGGTTGCAGTTTGTCCCCGGCCCCAGTTGGGGTTGTGCGGGAGGCAGCCACTTGATGTGTCCCTTTCACATCGATGTTTCCCTATCTCCCTCTCTTCCTCTCTCTCACTCCCACTCTATCTAAACAAAAATGGAAAAAAGTCCTCAGGTGAGGATAAAAAAAAAAAAGACTTATAGTATATTTTCTTTATACTTGGAAACAACAAACTTACACTTAGAAAAAGTATGCATATAATTCACTTACCAAAACATTGCTAGTGACCTCTAAAATACAAAATGGATGTCATTGTCAGGCTTAAAACTCATCAGGGACTTCTATAGCATTTAGATTAAAATAGCCCTGTTTTCCTCTTCAATTCATTTCACAAAGCTCTTATCCTCAGTGTCCACAACAACAGGTACACATGGCTTCTTCCTAACATAAGCTTATTTAATGTAAGTATATTTAACTAATATCTCAGGGAAAGAAGGAAACTCTATTAAATATATATTATTCTTACTAAACAATATTGTGTATATATATATATCTGCATAACATAGAGCACTTTCTTCTTCAGTAATACATACACTCAATATCTGACTACAAGCTTTTTAAACATTCAGAAGCTAAACATTTTTTAGTCAATTTCATGGATCAACAATAATGTAGTTTCATGGCAACAAAGCTTTTCATAATGCATGATGCTGATTTTGACCTCCTTACCACCTCAGTATTGATAGAATAATTCTGAAGCAGGTATCAGTGCTTCAGAAAATTTCATTTTCCTTAAATGTATTACATAGCAATAGAAGTTAAACAACTCTTTAAAGCCAGCAAGTCTTTTGACAGATAAATGAATATTCAGGACCTCAGCAATGGTCCTTATGTAGACATAAATTGGCCACATTAACTCTCATAGATTTGAGAATGTTACATAGAATCTATTTTAAGACTTGCAATTTCTACTGCTTTTAAATTATTTGTCTGCAGTGTGACAGGCAATCTGCATATATAATAACTTTTCATTTCAAGGCTGCTTCATGGAGAGATCTTTTGGAAATATTTTGTAAATAAAAAATAGAACCCCAATTTTTTTTTTAATCCTCACCCAAGGACATTTTTCCATTTATCTTCAGATAGAGTGGGAGGGAAGGAAAGAGAGACAAACATCGACATGAGAGAGCACATCAATTGGCTGCCTCCCGCATGACACTGACCAGGGCCAGGGACCGAACTGCAACTGAGGTATATGACCTCGACCAGAATCGAACCCGCAACTCACTGGTCTGCGGGCTGACACTCCAAACACTGAGCCAAACCGGCCAGGGTAGAGAACTCTAAATTTTTTTTTTTTATCCTCACCCGAGGACATTTTTCTCTGGACCGCGGGCCGATGCTCTAACCGCTGAGCCAAACGGGCCAGGGCACCGAGGACATTTTTCAATATTTTGTTCAGATAGAGTGGGAGGGAGAGAGAGAGAGAGAGAGAAACATCCATGGACACATCGAGTGGTCGCCACCCACACAACCCAAACAGGGCCGGGGACAAACTGCAACCGAGGTACGTGCCCTTAGCGGGAACCGAACTCGGGTATCTCCAGACCGCAAGCCAAGGCTCTAACCGTTGAGCCAAACCGGCCAGGGCAAGAACTCTAAATTTTTAAGTGATAATTTAGCTAAGTAAAGCACATATAAATGATATGACAATTAGATGAACAGTTAGTTATTTTTAACATCTTTCTTACAGCTTAATACAGAACTGCTGACATTTAAGTTCAAATTGTTTCCTCAGAGAGGTATTCACTTCCAAAATTCTCTTGACAATAGACTTTTTCTTTGGGGTTGGTATTCACACTGCCATACACAACAGTCCTACAACCTCATTCTCCCACTCCCTATACCCCATCTGGACAGTGTGCCGTTTCTTATTACTGAAGACAATCTGGTAAATGCAAACTTCCTATACTCTAAACACATAATATAGTTTATTTTAATAGTTCACATATCAGTCTCAGGGGAAAGTACCTGTCCATTTTTGCTTCCTGCTGACAATAGGCTGCATAAGAGATGATGTTTTCATGGCTGCACCTCTCAGTGGCCAGAGCACCAACATAAAGAACGAAGTCAGCATCCCGGACACCCTCTTGGTCTGGCACACCCACTGCTCCACAGGGCCACTTACCTCCACGGCAGACCCTGCATTGCTGTGCCCACAGGGAGCAACAGAAAATCAGACCAAAGATAAGGTTAGCTGTGAGAACTTTTAATTTATAGTAAATCCAGACTCTGAATACATATAATTTTTTATTTGTCCCTCAACTTTTTTTTTTTTAATCCTCATCTGAGGACATTTTTCCTTTTTGTTGTTGTTGTTGTTGTTGTTCAGATAGAGTGGAAGGGAAAGAGAGGAAGAGAGAGAGAAACATCGATGTGAAAGGGACACATCGAGTGGCTGCCGCCTGCACGACCCAACCAGGGCCAAGGACAAACTGCAACCAAGGTACATGCCCTTAGCGGGAACCAAACCCGGGTCTCTCTGGACCGCAGGCTGATGCTCTCATCACTGAACCAAACCGGCCAGAGCTATTATTTATCCCTCAATTTTTATCAAAATCCATTCCTCCCTCTATTCATGTCTTGTCTCTAATTTTGAATTTAATAAAATTTCTACTTTATGTAAAAAATTATCATAAATCTATCATCTTAATTCAAACAAACAATTGCTATTTATAAAGGGCAGCCAACCAGGATGCAAAAAAAGAAATATACAAGGTCTTAAACCCTGAAAATAGGTGAGATTTATAAGGGACCTCCTTATACATTTTTTTTGCAACTTCCTATAAATCTAGTTATTTCAAAATTAATCAAAAAATTTTATTTCATATAAATATATTTTCTATATAAATAATTCATTTTTTAAAAATTCAAATACAATAGTATATACGGTAGAAAGTTACGGTCATAGAGTAATATCCTTATTTCTACTTTCCTAAGCAAATCTTACTTAGCCCTTGTAATAATGTCGGGTTTTATTTTTATTTATTTATTTATTTTTAATCCTCACCCGAGGACATTTTTCCATTTTTTGTTCAGTTAGAGTGGGAGGGAGAGAGAGGAACAGAGGGAGAGAGAGAAACATCGATGTGAAAGTGACACATCGAGTGGCTGCCACCCGCACGACCGACCAGGGCCGGGGACAAACTGCAACTGAGGTACGCGCTCCTAGCGGGAACCGAACCCGGGTCTCTCAGGACCGCAGGCCGACGCTCTAACCGCTGAGCCAAACCGGCCAGGGCATAATGTCTGTTTTTAAAGAACTTTTTATCAGAAAGTTTCTAAGCAATCATAATCTCTTCAAATTACAAACAAAAAATAAATGAATTATGATTTTTTAAGGCATAAGTGACAGAGAGAGAAATCAGAAATCCCATTTAATTACATTGTTTACTCTTGCTTCTCCGACATATGCATTCATTATTTTAATCCAATTAATTTAACCTGCTAATAGTTGGTGTCACCAAAAGTTGTGATTTTTAAAAGTTTTCTTTCCCACAGTCAAGGGCACATACCTGGGTTGCAGGTTTGATGCCCAGCATGGGACAGGATCATGCAGGAGGCAACCAATCGATGTGTCTCTCTCACATCGATGTTTCTTTCTTTCTCTTCCTCCCTCCCTTCCACTTAATCTAAAAAAATCAATGGAAAAATATCCTCAGGTGAGGATTAACAACAAAAACAAAAAATTGCAAAGTAAACTTCATCTAAACATATGCTTAACTTTGGTTACAATTCAATTTTTAGTAATATATTCATTTTCTATAAGTAATAGAAGAAAGTCCAATAGAGAAAAATATAGCAATAATCATATTTTCAAAGGTATATAAATATAATAAATTGGTTTCCTGGCATATGCATGTAAACTTTTTATCTTTTTCCTGATATAAGTAATATATGCTAACCATGAAAAATCAGAACATTACAAAAATACATAACTTGCAAAAGAAAAGCCCTCCCATAATCCAACTCTTAGAGAAAAACACATTTTGGTATATGTCCAGATTTGTTAATATATGTATACCTCCAGAAAGTTTCATAATATTTTATTGAATGTGTGTGTATACTTTTTACAAATTTGCTTTATTTCAGTTTGTTGAAAGCTGAATAATTGAATGTAATTTTCAAATAAAATGGGCTGACATACTGATTTACAACATTTTTTTCATTTAAGAGCTAACTATCTTTCCAAGTCAGTATATAGACTTCTACTTCATACTTTAACAACTGCATAGTATTTTTTTATATGGTTAGATCATAATTTAACTAATACTAATACAGGCATATTTATAAATACAGGCCAGTTATAAGTGTTTTTATGGAATATAGGTTGGGTTGAAGCATAAATTTTTTTTTTAATTTTAAGAAATAATGTCAAATTGTCCTTCAAAAATACTGAGGTATATGCCCAGCTAATGTAGCTCAGTGGTTGAATGTCAACCCATGCACCAAGAGGTCACTGGTTCAATTCCTGGTCAGGGCACATGCCCAGGTTGTGCACCCGGTCCCCAGTGGGAGGCATGCAGGAGGTGGCCAGTTGATGTTCTCTCTCATCGACATTTCTCTTTTTTTTTCTATCCTCACCCAAGGACATTTTCCCATTTTTTTGTTCAAATAGAGTGGGGAGAGACAGAGAGAGAGAGAGAAACAACAATGTGAAAGGGACACATTGTGTGGTTGCCACCCGCATGACCCAATCAGGACCGAGGACAAACTGCAACCGAAGTACATGCCCTTAGCTGGAACCGAACCCGGGTCTCTCTGGATCACAGGCCGACGCTCTACTGCTGAGCCAAACCGGCCAGGGCTCATCAACGTTTCTATCTCTCTCTCCCTTTCTCTCTAAAATCAATAAAGAAAAAAAATTTTTTTTGCCCTGGCCGGTTTGGCTCAGAGGTTAGAGCGTCAGCCTGCAGACCAGAGTCCTGGGTTCAGTTCCCGCTAAGGGCATGTGCCTCGGTTGCAGTTTGTCCCCAGCCCCACTTGGGGTTGTGTGGGTGGCAACCACTGGGTGTGTCTCTCTCATGTCGATGTTCTCACTCTCTGTTCCCCTTCTCTTCCTCCCACTCTATCTGGAGATAGATGCAAAAATGTCCTCGGGTGAGAATAAAAAATAAATAAAACAATCTAAAAAAAAATTGTTTTAAATACTGAGGTATATACATGCTAAAAGATGTTTTAGAGGATAAATATAATGTTCTAAGTTGAAATAATTCAACAGTCCCAGAGACAAATTTTAAAAAGAAAGTATCATTAAATTCATTTTAAAACCAATGAAAGAATAAAGTCAGCATACCTAATTGTGATTACTTTTGGTAGAAGAATGAAGCTTTGAATTTACTTTTTTCTTTTTTTAATTTCATTTTATTTTTTTTACAGATGTTTCTCATTTTCCCCCCACTGACACCCTTTTCCCAGTGGCGCTCCCCCAATCCCCTCATTGTTGTCTCTGTCCATGGTTACACATACATGCTATAGGGTCTGTGGTTTCTCTTTCTCTCCCTCCATCCCCCTCTTGTGAGGTTTGTCAGTCTGTACCCTACTTCTATGTCTCTGGGTCTATTTTGTTCATCAGCTTGTTTTGTTCATTATATTCCATAAATAAGTGAGATCATGTGATATTTGTCTTTCTCTAATTGACTTGCTTTGTTTAGGATAACACTCTCCAGGTCCCTCCATGTCACCTCAAAGGATAAGAGATCTTTCTTTCTTATAGCTGCATAGTATTCTATTGTGTATATGTAGCACAGCTTTTTTATCCATTTGTCTACTGATGGACACTTGGGCTGTTTCCAGATTTTAGCAATTATAAGTAGTGCTGCTGTGAAGATAGGGGTACGTATATTCTTTCTGATTGGTGTTTCAGGCTTTTTAGGGTATATACCCAGAAGTGAAATCACTGAGTCAAATGGCAATTCAATTTTTAATTTTTTGAGGTAACACCATACTGTTTTCTATAGTGGCTGCACCGGTCTGCATTCCCACCAGCAGTGTACTAGGGTCCCCTTTTCTCCACACCCTCACCACCACTTGTCATTTGATGATTTGTTGATGGCAGACATTCTGGCAGGTGTGAGGTGATACCTCATTGCTGTTTTAATTTGCATCTCTCTGATGGTTAGTGATGTTGAGCATTTTTTCATCTGTCTCTTAGCCATTTGTATGTCTTTTTTGGAGAGGTATCTATTTAGGTCCTCTGCCCATTTTTAAATTGAATTCTTTGTCTTCCTTTTGTTGAGTTGTATGTGTACTTTATATATTTTGGAAATTAACCCATTATCTGATGTATTGTTGGCAATTATGGTCTCTCATATAGTGGGTTTCCTTTTCATTTTGATGCTTGTTTTGCTCACTGTGTGGAAGCTTTTTAGTTTGATGTAGTCCCATGTGTTCATTTTTTCCTATTTCTCTTGCCTTAAGCATTGTATCAGTGAAAGTTCTGCTGCGTGTGATGTTTAAATTTTGTTGTCTACATTTTCTTCTAGGATTTTTATGGATTCATGAGTCATTTAAGTCTTTTACCCATTTTAAGTTTATTCTTGTGTATGGTGTAAGTTGGTGGTTTAGCTTCATTTTTTTGCATATAGCTGTCCAATTTTCCCAACACCATTTATTGAAGAGGCTGTCTTTACTCCATTGTATGCTCTTGCCATCTTTGTCAAATGTTACTTGAGCATAATGACTTGGGTCAATTTCTAGGTTCTCTGTTCTGTTCCATTGATCTATATGCCTGTTCTTGTGCCAGTACCAGGCTGTTTGATTACAATGGCTTTATAGTATAACCTGATATCCAGTATTGTGATCCCTCCTACTTTGTTCTTCTTTGTCAAGATTGCTGTAGCTATTCGGGGTCTTTTCTGGTTCCATTGGTATTTTGATGGGGATTGCATTGAATCTATAGATTGCTTTTGGTAGTCCAGACTTTTTTTTTATCCTCATCTGAGGACATTTCCCCATTTTTTGTTCAGATAGAGTGGGCGGGGGGGGAGAGAAACATCGACATGAAAGGTACACATCGAGTGGCTGCCACCCACATGACCCAACCAGGGCCGGGGACAAACTGCAACTGAAGTACATGCCCTCAGTGGGAACCAAACCCGAGTCTCTCTGGAACGCAAGCTGATGCTCTAACTGCTGAACCAAACCAGCC